AACTCTGGTGGACAGGGACACTGTTGGTCAGAAACACTGGTGGACAGGGACACTGTTGGTCAGAAACACTGGTGGACAGGGACACTGTTGGTCAGAAACACTGGTGGACAGGGACACTGTTGGTCAGGAACTCTGGTGGACAGGGACACTGGTGCACAGAGACACACTTAGTCAGGAATAGTGTTGGTCAGGAACACTGGTGAACAGGAACACTAGTGAACAGGGACACTGTTAGTCAGAAACACTGGTGGACAGGGACACTGTTGGTCAGGAACTCTGGTGGACAGGGACACTGTTGGTCAGGAACACTGGTGGACAGGGACACTGTTGGTCAGGAACACTGGTGGACAGGGACACTGTTGGTCAGGAACTCTGGTGGACAGGGACACTGTTGGTCAGGAACACTGGTGGACAGGGACACTGTTGGTCAGGAACACTGGTGGACAGGGACACTGTTGGTCAGGAACTCTGGTGGACAGGGACACGGGTGGACAGAGACGCACTTAGTCAGGAACACTGTTGGTCAGGAACACTGGTGGACATGGACACTGGTGGACAGGGACACTGGTGGACAGGGACACTGTTGGTCAGAAACACTGGTGGACAGGGACACTGTTGGTCAGAAACACTGGTGGACAGGGACACTGTTGGTCAAGAAAATTGTTGGTCAAGAACACTGGTGAACAGGGACACTGGTGAACAGAGACACACAGTTAGAAACACTGGTGGACAGAGACACACTTAGTCAGAAACACTGGTGGACGTATGATTCAGGACAGTTTGACCAGCCGATGTTGGACTAAAAGACAAAGATCTTTAAAGACAACCATCTTTTCTTTGTTTTCAGTGTTTTTATATTTCTTTGTGTCTTCTGCTCCCAATCTGATTTGTCCAAGTTTCCTCTTTTCTGAGACTGTTTCTGTTGCTGCTTCTCTTCCAGGAGCATCACTGTCTGCGAATCAAGATCCTGGGAGACTGTTACTACTGCGTGTCCGGTCTACCTGAGCCCAGACCGGACCACGCCCACTGCTGTGTGGAGATGGGACTGAGCATGCTCAAAACCATCAGGTGCACTTCTTCTTCTTCTTCTTCTGTTGTTAAAGAGAACAACTCTGTGCTGAAACGTACCGACCGACTGCTCAGGGGGTTCTGTTTGAAGGAATACCTGGAGGAAATGAAAGTGTTGTTTCCAGGAGAAGACAGGTCCTCTGCCTGGTCACTGTGGGGTTTTTCAGCTCCCGTTGGTCCAGTTTTGATGTGAACCGGTTCTGACGGTGCCAGCAGCAGGTGTCGGCTCCGTCTCGAGCTCGGTTAGAAACAAAATGCTGCTGCTCCTCACCGCTCCGTGCACCAACACGAGGACATGGAGCTGCACTCGGTGTGGTGATAAACCTACGTTTAGTTTTTTTATTAACGCTCATCGCCCAGAGGCAGAAATCCAGGATTTTATTTCCGCTCGTACGCTGAGGTGCAGCTCAGTCCTGCAGTAAACAGAACCAACAAGCAGCTTCACTGCAGCTATCACTGGTTTTTAAAATCTGTTGACATTTCTTTAATTCATTCTGCCTCCTGTAGGACTGCAGAAAAATGCTTCATGCAAGAAACTCTGGTTCAGAAGAACACACAGTGCAGTGAGACGATTACATCTGCATTTTTGTGTCATTTATGTGAGGAAACCTGGCGCTGACGACTGTCTTCAGGCTGATTTATCCTCTGCAAGGCGTGTCAACGTTTGTCATTCTCGCGGCTCAGTGTTTTTGTTCTCACAGGTTCTGTTGCAGGTCTTTTGTCTCGCCGTGGTCTGCAACAAGTATTGTGTGATTTGTCGCAAATTTGTCAGTGTTTATACAAAAAAGCTGCCAGGATTGAATGCATCATCTATACCAGGGGTTCTTAACCTTTTGTTGAACATAAAGAGGCACGAGGTCCAGTCAGACATTACCAATGTATGGATCAAAATGATAATTATTATAAACCTTGGTTTAGTTTTTATTGTATTTACATCATAACTAAACTATCATAACTAACATAACTAAA